AAAAATCTATATAAAATATTCTGTTTACGTTTACAGGATTACTCATTTGTATGAATGTCANTGATTAAAGAACATTGCTTTAAAGTAACTAGTTTCTTTTTTTTTGTTTAATACCAAAATCCTGCATTATTTTCCGGACAACCCAATACATAAAGGTTATTGGAGAAATGCATTGTTTTTTCATTTTTATGGCTTTTCTGCAGGAGAACAACATGAAAATTAATAGTTTTTATGCGCTAACATTATTGAGTAAGGGAATTGAGGGTAATATGTCTTTTTATAATGAAATTCGTCAAAGGATTCGACTTCCGTTGCGATTTTTCCAAAAAATTGTTTTATATGCGATATCCGCCGATCCGCTCTGTTTGAGGACTTGCGTATTCCTTTACATACAAAAATAAATAAAAGATCGAATTATATTTACTGACTGTTCAGAAATCGTGAGATGCGGTCTGGTGTGATGTCGGTTTCAGAAAAACATTTTCTTTATCGTGCCAACGTTTCCATCTTTATTGAGATCATCTTCAGGGCCTAGGGATTACAAACATTGTTTGAATTTAAAAAATACATATAGGATGTGGAAAAAAGTGAATTTATACAATGCAAAGAAATATATTTTTTATATTCAATCAAAGTATTTTTTCTAGTGATTAGAAATACTTTTACTTTTTATTATTGATGATTTATGATTATTTTTATGCAATTTATAAAATCACTTTTTTCCACATCCTACAAGTTTTTTTTAAATTTAAACAATGTTTGCAAATCTCAGGCCCTGATGATGATCTCAATAAAACTAGTGAATGTAATAAGTTTAAATGAAGTATACCTTCACTAAAGCTTTCCGTGGCCATTTCATTTGTCGCCGAGAATCAATAGATTACACGACATTTGAAAAATGGCAAAAAGGAGTGAAAATTCAAAAGGTGGGGTTGAGCTGGGAAGTTAGTGTCCGAGTGGATCGAGGTCAGGATAACTCATGTGGTAGAGGAGCGGCGTATAGCCGAAGGTCGTGGGTTCGAATCCCGCTCGTGGCACTGAATTTTTTTATCTCAACCCATACCTTAAAAAAGGTTTAACATTTGTTTCTTTTTGGTTTGTATTTTGTATTTTCCTTTATCCAACTAATAAGAATATATCGGGTAATTTAATTTAAATTATTAGAATAAGAATGAATTACAAATATCCCTATTCGTTTTTGAGCAGTTTATATTTTCGTAATGTGGTTAAAAACTACGTAAGTTTGAGACTGAAATAACAGTCGATAGCCCTAGAATTGAACTCTGATGTACAGTCGAGAGATGAATCCTATACGTTTTTTCATCCTAGGCTATATTTTTATTATTACTAGCATAGGGTTCCAACCTTTGTAGAGGTCATTACACTGGTGAAAAAAGAAGGCTAAATGTTGGGTTCACCGAGCTTTCGGGACCTTACAGTACATCATCAGAGCCTATTTTATTACAAATTCAAGTAAATACACAATAACATACAATTAACAATAATTAATTAATATTTTCCCAAGGATGAAGACAACGATTAACATGGAAAAATATTGTTACTAACTACAATCGTTTTGGGTTTAAGGGTATGGAGCACATGGCCAGCATAGAACATTTTTGACGGTGGAAACAGATATCTACATAAAATTTAAAGTAAGTATTAATAAACAATATTTATATTTGACAATGAAACCAATAATTTATAATAAAGTAAAACAATACCTAGCTAAAAATCCATATGACTAAAGGTCCTACTATTTTTTTGTTCTGACTAGTAATTTCTTATAGGTACTTTTGTGATCACAGAGAATATATATTTTCACCTCAGAGAAAGGAAAAAAAAAAAGTAAATTTAATTGTAGAATAAATAGTATGACAGGAAGACCCTGTATGTCTGACTGTGATTTAATTTCTTTGAGTACATAACTTGGGAAGTTTACGAGCCAACATTCTGGGTGTCATTATTTGTTCTAAGCAATAAAATTCTTGTTAGGCACGACATGTCAAGAGATTCTTTATTTAATGTAATGAAAATTATGTTTTGATTATTGTTGAAGAGTCTGTAGTATGGAATTCAAATTTTGGTTGTTTTAATGAACAAGCTTACTTGTTCCGAAACACCGTTTTCCCCAGTATCCAGGTTCGATCAGATTTCGTTCATATCGTACGAGTAATTAGATGAGTGCTGTTTGTAATGTGTTGGTTCCTTTTGGAAGAGCCTACAGTAAGAACTTAGCGGAAAACTCGAGCCTTGACTTTATTGGATACGGCACCACAGCAAATTGCTTTTGGGCTTTGTGAAGTTTACCCTGCCTGTAAAATCGATGGTGGCAAATTGGAGCAAACGAATCGGCGAGTTACAAGAGCGAGGGCAATCATTGATTTTAATTGGGCATATCATAAAGACTTTCGAAAATAAACGAGTCTCTTTTAACGGTCTATATTTCTAATGATGTTACACTGGTACGATACTTGTTTACATTTTGTAACGTTCTACGGTCATTTAGGTCGAAATAGAATATCGAAAGGGGAAAACACTTTGATGAAAATTACGGTATATCAGACATTCGATGTTAATGATATCAAAAAGCAACAATCTGGGTCGGGCTCTGAGACAGAGCAATTCCACTTCAAAGCGATACCGCTTAAGGGTATCGTCTGAAATAATGACAACCTGTCTCGGCCATGATTTATTTTTAAGGGACGATAATCTACACCGCAGTCGAAAATGCGTCACGCACGCTTAACAATTTGATACTTTTACTTTAATTAATGTTTAGATATACGAAAGGAATTAATTAGTCCTTGGGTGATTTACGGCCTTTGTTAATTTTTATAACGTTGGCTATTACCCTTCCGCATTAAAATATGTTACACTCTATTATTTATTATCAACTAAAATTAAGTTTTGCCAATTACCCTTGTTCTAATTTATAATATAATCGCATTATATTAAAGTCAAATATGTTCACGATTTTTTACGATAATTTAAATTAAAATATATAAAAATAAATAAATGCATATATTATTAGGTTCCGTGGTCAACTTGACCAAATAAATTGTTTTCAATAAATTAATCTTTTATTAAGTTTTGGGTTGACAAATGGCAAAAAGGAGGGAAAATTCAAAATTTCAAAATGTGGGGTTGAGTTGGGAAGTTGGTGTCCGAGTGGGTCGAAGTCACGATAGGTCAAGTGGTAGAGCAGCGGCGTATTAAGCGTAGTTTCGAATCCCGCTTGTGATATTGATATTTTTATCTTAACCAAAATCTTAATTAAAGATTAATAAATGCATACGTTCATTTACAGTGGGGAGGCCTGTAAAATATCTCGGGGCACACTTCGACTTCATACTAAATTTTGTACAGTACGTAAAAAAATGAAATGCGATAGCCATCAAACATACTTTTGGAAATAAGAAATAAAACCGTATACGAAATTTACATGAACAAGGATTTCATACGGTGCGCGACCCACTAAAACGAAATATATATAAAAATAATTATAAAAACCTCCAAGTGAGTCCAAAAGTAGAATTAGGAATAAACGGAGGGTTTTTGTCATACAGCAAGGCTTAAGCCAGAAACACACTTACCCGATGCAACGCCATGCGAAGCTACCCGACGCAAATCCAAACTCCGATTTTCCATAAGATTTCATTACCCCCGTGCACATCAACCCGATGCTGTGCCACGCTAACCTACCCGACCCTCTGCGATCCCCACTGTACAGATTTTCGTCGGGTCGCATCGAGTACAGTCGAAGACAAAAGAACCGGACACTCATAATTTTATTCAAACTACATGTATTATTGTCGTTATATTAATTACAACAAACTTATTTTAATATAAACCAAATTAAACTGAGATTAAAAATTAATTAAATTTTATTTAAAAAATTAATTTTAATGGTTTGGTAGAAAATTAATCAAAACACCGGAATACGATTTTTTGATATAATGAATTTAACTAACCTTTTATTGTACTCGCTTCGGCGGTACATGTACTAAAATTGGAACAATTTATTACACGGTTTTGCTTATAAAATGTAATTAACAATTTATTTCATAGTTTTGCTCGTAAAATTACACCAGTTTCTAATTTCGGGTAGCATCAGAACAGGACACTCATATTTTTTGTAGTTTATTTCAAACTAAGAACATGTAATTTTGTCGTTATATTAATTACAACATGTTATTTTAATGTAAACCAAATTTAACGAGATTAAAAATGCATAAGTTTTTAAAAAACATTGTTTAATTGTGATGGTTAGGAGTAACTTTATTTAAAACAATTAAGTTTAACAAACAATTTATTAGATGGTTGTGCTCATAAAATTTAACTAACAATTTAATACAAGTGTAAGAGAGAGAGAGAGAGAGAGAGAGAGAGAGAGAGAGAGAGAGAGAATGAAAGTTTTGCAGAGAAAAAAGAAACACAGAAAAAAGGGAGCGAAAGGGAGTACAAGAGTTTAGCATGGTTAAGGGAGCAAACGGTGAGAGAGAAAGGGGAACAGAGTAAAATGGAATAGCAGGAGTGAGAGCGAAATAAATGAAGAAAGAGAAAAAGGAAGATAAACAGAAAAAGGAAGATAAACAGAAAAAGAAAGAAAAGATATGTGAGAGGGAGAGAGAGAGAATATGAGTGAAACTGAAATAGCGATATATCTAAAGAGAGAGTGTAAGAATAGATAGGAAATGTGTGCGAGAGGAAGAGAGAGAGTGTGATACAGAAAGAGTGAGAAAGAGAGTGACAGACAGACAGAATGGAACGTTAGACAGAGAAAAAGAGAAAGAGAAAAATAGGCAAAGTGATAAAGAGAGAAGAGAGAGAGAGATTGCGATACAATAGAAGATTTCTGTAATCGTACAACAACTCGCGAAAAAACAAATCATTTAGTGATTTACGTTTAAGCTTGGTGGATTGTTCATATTTTTCCCCATAGGAAAGATTTCAGTAATAAATTTGATACTTATCAATAAAAAAAATTATTCACTTACCTATTTTTGCTTTGACTATTGTGACGAGGAGGAGAGCTAGGAGACATGTGACCCGCACCATTTCGCCTTTTTCTGCAATAAAAAAAAAACATATTTAAAGATAATATTTTATTTTAAATAAAATATGGAAATCGTGATGTTTGATGTTTTAAAAGTGAGCAAGTAAACCGTTAAGCTGATATCAAAAATTCTGAGAAAGGCGAAAAACAACTCGTTTTCATTTTGTAAAATGAAAACAAAATGTAAAAAGACTAATTTGAAACAGGCAGACCACGAAGAGTGGAACAACGTAAACAATCCTGTTCTAACTTGCTCGAAGCAGTAGTGAGAGAAATTTCATTTATTTCGACATCCTGAACTTGAAATAAACGCGAAAATCCACTTCTCCAACTTTCCAAGAGTTTTAGAACGAAGACGTCAATGCATTTAGGCTTTCGCCCTCGACTGGAATAAACATGAGAAATTCTTTCCAAACTTGAGAAAGTCTTTCGTTTATTTTTCCCCCTCGCCGAGGGCAGGATGGAAAAATGCCACTCTCCTCCACAAAAATCTAATCAGATATAAATCTAATTTATCCTGTTCGCATCGGATACTTCAACTCACACAAAAAGCTAACACTTATTAAATTTACTCATTGAAGTAAAACAAACAACAAAATCATCTTAAAACTACCAACATGATATCCCAAATTATACGATTTATTTTATTGAAACGAAGAACTACAAACTTGTCATATCATATTCCTATCATATTCATATACATCCCAATTGCACATGCACATTTAAAAACTATAAAAAATGAAGATGAGACTATTTTTTAACTGTTTTATTTTTTAACCTGATCTTTGTGCCGAATGCCACCTTGACATCTATCCGGTTTTGTTCTAATTTTCAACGGCAATCTTTCGCTTTTCGTTTCTCACTGCCATTACCCGGCGCGCTGCAACTGACATTCTGAATGAAAGAATATCTGGAGGGTTGGAGTTAATGGGCGTAAAAAAGTGAGAAAAAAACACGAAGAAATAGAGAACAAAATAAGGGGTGTTTGTTGATGGTCGGACGTGTTTAATGCCGCGACGAATTTCTCATGTCACTCACAGCCATTCCGGAAAGTCCGATATGATGTTTTGAACAAAGTATAGCTTTTAAAAATATTTTTTGTTGGGCGGACGTTTTGGCTCAAGTTGTTAAATTATCGATTAGTTCACTAGTCCGCCTGGTTGTCTTTTAATACGACAGCTATAAGGCTGGATTTGATATTTTCCAAATTAAAATCGTTAGTTCAAAAAATTGAGTATTCCACGACTTTAAATAATATAACATTTTTTCTGCAATTAATCCATTTTACCAACAAAACCTTTGTTAATTTCAAATTAAAACTTTCTAAATGGACATCAACATATTTTAATTTCAAATTGAACCATTTTAATTTCAGCATAACTGGTTTTTACATTAAATTAATATTTGTTCAATCGAAATGAACCCTTTTTGACCTCAAATTAACCTTTGCTAATTTCGAATTAAACCTTTCTAAATGGACGTCAACATTTTTTAATTTCAAATTAAACCTTTTGAATTTCAGCATAACTATTTTTTTTACTTTAAATTAATATTTGTTAAGTGGAAATGAAACTTTTTTAAACTCAAATTAACCTTTGTTAATTTCAAATTAAACCTCTCTAATTTCAGCATAACTGTTTTTTACTTTAAATTAATATTTATTAACTTGAAATGCACATTTTCACCCCAAATTAACTTTTGTTAATTTCGAAATAACCCATTTTAACTTCAAATTACTTTTTCAAATTTCAAATTGACCATTTTAATTAATAATTAATTTTTGATAATCCAAAAAAACCTTTTGAATTTTAGAATAAACATTTAAAATTAAATTTTTCTAATTTGACATTAATCATTTTAGGTTGTACTTTTTAATTTCAAAAATAGTAAATCATTAAAAACTTAGAAGGTGGTAAAAATATAAGAATGAACTGTATATTCGCGAGTTTTAAATATAAAATATTGCTCATAGAAGACTATCAAATTATATTACTATTAAAATAAATTTTAGATTAGAACAAATTTTCTATTTTTAATAAATATAGAATGAAAAAAAATGATCATTTATATTTACTTTAATTTCACACAACTTTTAATTTTTTTGTAAATAATGGACATGTGATATTTTATATAAAATTACTTTATATTGTAATTATTAAATTCATAAATTTTCTTTGTCCGCTTGACCAATGAATATCTTTCAAAAAATTAAGGATTTTTAGTTGAGATAAAAAAGTCAGAATCACGAAGGGGATTCGAACCCACGACCTTCGGCTAAATACCCAGATGCTCTACCACGTGAGCTATCGTGAAGTCAATCCACTCGGACCCTAACATTCTTAAAAAAGGGCAAAGAGGAGGGAAAATTCAAAATTTCAAAATATGGGGTTGTGTTGGGAAGTTGGAGTCCGAGTGGATCGAGGTCACGATAGCTCAAGTGGTAGAGCAGCGGCGTATCTAGCCGAAGGTCGGGGGTTCGAATCCCGCTCGTGACACTAACTTTTTTATTTCAACTAAAAAACCTTAATTTATTGAATTGTAATTATTTTTACATGGTATTTTAAAAGCACTATTGATTTCGCAACTTTTCTAAATTTACGAGAATTTTATTTTCCATACTTACATTCATTTGAAATGCTTCAAAGGCAGTGTTATCTTAAAATTAAAAATTATTAACTTGAAGTTATAAAATGTAAATATGAAGTTGAAAAGGGTTATTTTAATTGAAAATTGGTTAATGTCAATTTTGATAAATTTCTGTTCATTTTTGTTTCTTTGCTGTCCCAAAAGGACAAGGGTGTTAAAATGTTGATGGACTGCCTCTATTGTAGTATGTTCTTGCCTTCTAGTTTTTATTTGGTCTAGACCTCTAAATGATATAAAAAATTGCAAATGAACTGAATCGTAATAAACAAAACGTACTAACTCACAATGGGACAAACGGTTTGGCTTAAAAACTTTGGAACAATAACATGTGGAATACATAAAAACAAGTTTCGTAAATCTTCATCACTATCTTTAACGTAGACCAAAAATAAATCTGGACAAATTTTTTTCATTTCCTGAAGATTGAAATAGATCAACAGTGTGTTGAAATAGAACAACAATAAAATACAATAGTATCTATAAGCTTAATAATTAGCTAAATAATTTTCTAAAATGATAACGAATGAACCAATTTTATTCACGTATAATTTTTTAATTTTAGAAAACACCTATAACTATATTCACTAGTTTTCGCGGTCCATTTGACCAATTAATATCTTTCAATTAATTAAGATTTTTAGTTGAGATAAAAAAGTCAGTGTCACGAGCGGGATTCGAACTCACGGCCCTCCGCTAAATACGCCACTACTATACCAATTGAGCTATCGTGACTTTGATCTACTCGGACACCAACTTCCAATCTCAACCCCACCTTTGAAACATGTTTTTAAACATTTGAAAAATAGCAAAAAGGAGAGAAAATTCGAAAGTTGGGTTGAGATGGGAAGTTAGTGTCCGAGTGGATCGAGGTCACGATAGCTCAAGTGGTAGAGTAGCGGGATCGTGGGTTCGAATCCAGCTCTCGACAATGACTTTTTTATATCAAATAAAAACCTTAATTAATTGACAGTGTTCCAAATATGGAAATCGTGTTTCTAGACATATAAAGCTTGCACCTCTTTATAATTAGGACAAAACTCTCAGATAATTTTTCTGTTTATCGCCTTTTCTAGTGACTTTATATTCACAATTGTCATAAAATAAGAAATTTACGTTAAACTTCACATTGGAACGGACGAGAGTTGCAGTCAATGATTATTGACCTGCCTACTGATTGTCCAATGTTGGCCCTCCCTGTTAGAAGTTTCTGTTGAATTAGGCCGCGAAGCAGAATCTGTATTCCATCCGTTCTCACTTAAATGTAAACACTGTTATAAACTTACAACAATGTTTTGGGAACATGAGCCCTAGATGTTTTGAAAAGGTAGGATTACTATCAGGCCCTCTTCTGGCTCAAGACTATTTGAAATTTTGAATCTCAACCCATTATAATTTGAAATAAAATTTTCATTTTCTTTCTCCTAATTTCATCATTTTTATGCAGAAATATTCCTTAAGGACAAACTTTTTGCGTATATTTAGTTGCATGCCACTTCATTCACAAGTATATGATTGAACTTAAAATTATGCCAGATAGTTTATTAATTGCTAATAAATTTGGTGGACCACGGTTCGAGTGACGTACCCAACATGATAAGAATAAGTTATGATCAATTAAAAATAAAGGCTGATAATCTCATCCTTCTGTTCTACCTTAAAATATTCTTCCTAGAAATAATGTACAACTGCTTCCAAATTATACTTCTGTAAAGTGGTTTCAAAGTTTATTGTACAATTCATTTAATGTTTACATGAATATAAAAACTAATCTGCAATAAGTGTTAGTTACCCAAAGAAATAAAAAAATTTACAAGTCTTAAAACTTTTAAATTAAAATTAAGTGTGTATTGATTAGTGACCGTTAATCGTTAATTATTCAGAACTCGTGACATGCGGTCTGGTGTGATGTAGGTTTCAAAAAAAATCTTTCCTTTATCGTGCCAACGTTTCGATCTTTATTGAGATCATCTTCAGGGCGCAATAAAGATCGAAACGTTGGCACGATAAAGAAAATGATTTTCTGAAACCTACGTCACACCAGACCGCATCTCACGATTTCTGAATATTTAAAATTAAGAGAAAACTTAATAAAGAAGTACGATTAAGTGTTAAAACGTATAATGTTTATGCTAAAATAGACTACAAAACTAAATTGTTAAATGGTGATTATATATTATTTGTACTGAATTAATTTTTTTCTTCAAAAAGTGTATTGTAAGTGCATAATTGTTTTCTATTATGTTTTGTTATGCTCATTTTATATGTGAAGAGAATAAAATAACTGCAAATTCGGCAAAACTGTACACGTTATTAATCACTTTATTTTATTGTAAATTCACGTAAGATAAGTAGATGTAAGATTGTTTC